TCAATCAAATATATAATTTTTTTTGGCGTCCGGCTAAAATTTCTGGAATAATTAATTTTATTTTAAAGATTTATCTATCAATTAATATAGTTTCAATAACATATACTTTTGTCAGATCAAACAACACATATATACAAACAACATATATACAAATCAATAAAATAAGTTTGTCTAGTGAAGCAAAAAAATATCTTCATAAATCATTGCAGCAACAGTGCTTAAATCAAAAGTCAGCTGAATATAATGAAGCAAAAAGGCTTTTTATGGGTTTAACAGATCTTGATTATAAACCTGGCTATAGAGAACATATATTTTATAAATACTGTCTTGCATCCAGGCCCGAAAAGGTGACCCTAAAGGGTCATGGCCATACCAGCTCTTCTGATAAAAACGATACTGCACTTTTAGATGCATATTGACCTGAAAAGATTTATTCTCAATATATAATTTGAATGGCAGAAAAAGGTTATACAGTGATCGATCATCCCTCTGAAGTTTATAGAATACCTGATACTCATGAATATATTGATGGTAACTAGCCTCTTCATTTGATTATTGATATTGATGCAAGGCAAAAGCCTAATCCTACAAATCCTAAAGTGCTTTCCTTAGATGATAAAAAAATTACACGAGAAGATTTGTTATTTCAAATTTTAGTTGCTTGTGCAGATGCATTAAGCCTTATTCCTGATTGTATACCTTTCTTAAATTCTTTTGCTTTAGCGAGTTCATCGAATGCTGAGAAATGTAGTTGGCATATTATTTATTCTCGTGCCTAATTCATAGATTATAGAGAACTTAAGAGATTCACAGAAAAAGTTATAGAATTAGTTGGGGAACCTTATTCGAAATTTATTGATTATGGCTTTTCCAAAACACATTTTAATCTTCAGCTTCTGAGATCAGCTAAGGAACATCGTATTAAAAAACCTGCTATTTCTTCTGTTAAAAACAGATTTAAAAATCTAGATGATTATCTAGTTTAGCTTAAAGAAAATTATTCTGTAATCTTGCCATAAACCTTTTCTTCTGAGGAGCCAGTAAAAGAAAAATTACAACCTATCGACAATGAAAATGCTTTGAGTAGAGGTGCCAATCTAGTTATTGCAAAATATGGGTGGCTTCAGATTGGAAGAATCAAGAAGGGATTCATCAACTTTCAAGCACAATCTGTTAAAGAATACCCTATATGTGATATTAAACATGAAAAAGACCAACTCTACGGATTTATTTGAAAAAATAGACATTTTATACTCAAGTGCTATTGGCAAAAACAATATAAACCAAATCACAAAAAGCTTAGTTTCGATAAGGTATCAGATAAAGTCAAATCAGAAGTGAAACTCAAGAAGTAGAGATTAATTGAAAGATTGCCCAAGGCTGTAAAACATCTACGCTCACTCGTAAAATTATCTGAAAATAATATTAATGTTAAGGAAATAGAGAACGCCCCAGAAGCTTATCCAGATTTCATGAGTAAGGAACCTACTACAACCCTAATTCGCTTATCCGTTGCCAGTGGAAAAACAAAAACCTTAAGAGAGATTCTTAATTCTTTAGCTAAAAGTAAAGCAAGTTTACCTTGTTTTAACTAGGTTTCATATTATAAAACTCTTAGTAATGAAACTAAAAGTAAAATCGAAGTATTACAGAAATCTGGGCTTCGTGTATGCTATTATCAGGAAAATGAAGATAATTTAGCTATATGTGACTGGGATGTTATTATTGTTCAGGTCGAAAGTATATATTGTCTTAATTTTCATGGGGATCGTTCTCATATAGTTATTTTAGATGAAGCGAATAGTATTATGCGTCAAATAGCAAGTGGAATCCATGCACGAGAATCTGAAAATACAATACGAGATTTGTTAAAGTCGGCTGTTCACGTGGTTGCTATAGATGCTTTTGCAAATGAGTCGACTTTAGCCTTCTTAAGACAATATCGGGGTAAAAATATCCGAGTTTTTGATAATAAGTATCAGCCACGTAAAAGTAAGACCGTAAAAATCCTTTATGATTCAAATAAAGGTTCAGAAGCTATATGTAAAGGTCTTGAGATGCTTAAAGAAGGT